AGGAAACAAGATCACAATGTCAATCCATCATGTACACTTTAATTTTCCATTCAGTTTCTTCTATTTGTAATTTATATGAGATTTTACTCAAGTTTATGAATTTGGTTGTGGTAACTTCTATAGTTTGAGTATGAACTAGATTAATTTGGAACAACAAATTCCAACACTACATCTATCAGCTCCCTGGGCATTAGGAGTTAGGACTTGAACTTTGGATATTGGATACAATACCATTCATTGATTAAGAGAACAACAATTCTGATGCAATTAATTTGGTGGAGAAGAAACAAAGCTATGTACAAGAATATTCTACTCAGAATCCATAATTTGTTATTAGAGAATTGTTCGGAATGGTCTATTACCTAGATTCGATTTGCCCCTAGCTAGCTTTCGAACTCCAACTCTGAACAGAACATAGTCAAAGTCAATATGGATGAGGAAAATTAGAATCAAGCCAAGAAAGTAAATTAGATTCAAACCCACGCTGGTTGAGATGTTTTCTTATTTATTAAAATAAAAATTTATAAAAATTATTTAAAATTATCTTTTTGGGCAAAATAAGAAAAGTTACAATTAAATATATAACGCATAGAATACATCTAAATAATTAATTTATAAAAATTATTGAGACTTTAATATTAAACTAGATTACTTAGATTATATCTATACTATTCAAATTGTTGGCGGTACCGATGATAGAGACGTGAATGACGAGCTGTTTGAGTCGTGCTCGGAAGGACACTGTCTTTAAAAACTATTTCAGCACATTAGGACAACAGACCGACAGTTCTCCAGGATTAAGCAAGCACTTCCTACAGAAGCAAGAAACCAAAACAGCAAAAACTAAAAATGAACTCAGATGAACAACACAGGAGAAGCTAGAGGGAGGAAAGAATTGCCTCGAAAACTTAAGAGGCTGGTGAGTTACTCTGTCTGCACCTATGGCTATATAGAGCCTGAAGATGGAGACATGAACGTTGGCTCAAAATCACCAGATTAAACACTTGTTTGGAAATGTTAAGGGGTTACGCGAACATAAAACACATTCAAGCTCTTATATGAAAGCATTGGGGAGACAAATACATTTACAAAATAAATTTGGTTAATGGTCAAAAACGTTCATGGTTTGATTTCAAACTCCAAACAGCCAAAAACTGAGATTTTCTAGTAAGCAAAAATAATTATTTATTTATTTATTTATTTTGTAAAATTAATCCAATAAAAGGAACCCATTGCCTCTTAAACTCGCACGCAGGGGGTCAATCGACTGATTTCAACTGCGTTTTCCCTAAATTGGCATGTTTCATGCGCACAAGCCCACCTCTCCTCCAAGCCCATTTTACTAAACCACTTCATTCCTTAGTATTTATACACTAGAAGAGTTCTTCATTTAGTCAATGTAGGACTTTTGACACACACACCCCTTTGACACATACACTACAATCCCCCACATGTGTCAAAAGGATCTATTTTTATCTGAGTTATTCACACGGATGATAATCACTTTGAATTTGGCGTTTGTCAACTTAAACCAAACCTAGACTAATAAAACTTAGCACACAGAAAAGTCAGTGTAACTTTGTTATTGAACCAACAAATCTTGAGCACGTACTAGAGGTCTTATTAATCAGATTATACCCCCACAGTCTCTGCCATTAACAATGATTTTGCACGTTATTGCCATGTGCATGCCTGGCTTTAATAAATGCTCTAGAGCTTTCACCATGATCTCATAGGAGCGGCCCTACTCCACATTTGTATAGGTGTTTTCATTAAGTGTATCTGCAATGAATACACCATCCATAAGGACTATGAAAACATTAAGAACTTTTACTCAGCCTCCGTTCAATGCATTCTAACACTTTCTCAAGCCATAAGAAGGGACAAAAATTCAGTGCTAGTAGAACTAACAAGTGACTTGTTCTTACCTATTGAACCTTCTTCATGGAATCTCCAATCACAAAGGTTGGGTTGCCATCACTGTTAATTTCAAACAGGCTTAAGTCCCATTCCTTTCGATATTTCAATAATAAATTTCTTCCCCAGGGGCTTAGTTAATGAATCCGCCAGAATTAACTCTAATTTTACATAATCGATTGAAATGACCCCATCTTTGAGCAACTGCCTTATAATATTATGTCTCAATTGAATATGTCTACTTTTACCATTGAAGGTCTTATTTTTAGCTGTTGCTATTACAAATTAGCTATCACAATATAAAGACATTGATGGTGTGGGCTTTTCACCTATTGGAATACTCATTAAGAAGTTTTTCAACCACTCAACCTCAGTTTCAGCCAACTCCATGGCACTAAATTTAGAATCCCTAGAGAATTTTGTGTTAATTGTTCGTTTTGCAAACTTCCAGGTTATTACACCATCATCAAGAGTGAATATATAACCACTAGTAAATTTTGTCTCTTCTGAATCCGAAGTCCAGTTAGCATCACTGTATCCTTCCAATACAGCGAGAAATTTACTATACAATATACCATAATTTATGGTACCTCTCAAATATCTCAAGACTCTCACCAGAGCCTCCCAGTGTTTACTGCCTGGACAGTGGGTATATCTACTCAATCTACCTACAGCATAAGCTATATCAGGCCTAGTAAAATTTATCAAATGCAATAGACTCTCAATAATCTATGCACACTCAGATTGAGCAACTGGGTCACCCTTGTACTTTTTTAATTCCACACTTGAATCATAAGGAGTACTCAGAGGAGCATCTTCAAGATGTCCATACTTTCTGAGAATTTTCTCAACATAATGTTCTTAGAAAAGTAAAATCTCATTTTTGTTCCTTATGATTTCTACACCCAAAATTACCTTGACTTTACCCATATCTTTCATATTAAAATTTGAAGAAAGAAAATTTTTCGTTTCATTAACAACACACATACTAAAGCCAAAAATTAACATGTCATCCACATACAAGCATATAATCACACAATCATTATTCACAAGCTTTGTATAAAAACATCTTTTTACTTCAATAGCAAAAAATTCACCAGTTGTCAAAAATTGATCAAGTTTCTCATGCCATTGCTTAGGCGCTTGTTTTAAGCCATATAAAGACTTGACAAGTTTACAAACTTTATTTACTTGCCTAGGAATCACACATCCCTCGAGCTGTACCATGTAAATTTTTTCTTCTAAATCACCATTTAAAAATGCAGTTTTAACATCCATTTAGTGAATAAAAAGCTTGTAAATTGAAGCCAAAGCAATAAGAACTTTTATAGAAGAAATTCTAGTCACAAGAGAAAATGTGTAAAAATAATCTATATTTTCCTTTTGAGTAAAACTCTTGGCCACAAGCCTTGCTTTATATTTATTAATTGAACTATCTGAAAAATATTTTTTCTTAAAAATCCATTTACACCCAATAGCTTTAGCTCCTCAGGGCAAATCTGCTAAAACTCAAGTTTTATTTTTCCTTAAGAATTAATTTCAATTTCAATTGCTTCTTTCCAAAATCATCAGGAGAAGAAATAGCTTCATAAAAATTTAACGGTTCATCTTGCACTAAATAAGTGTAAAAATCATCTCCAAAACTTGTTTCTTTTCTTTGTCTTTTACTTTTCCTTAAAATCAAATCTTCATTTAAATTTTGTCCACACTCTGAATTCTTAACAGGTTTAGAAACATGCTCAATTTTTAAGGAAAAAATATGTTCAAAAAATTCAGCATCCTTAATCTCTACAATTGTGTTTTGGTCTAAAATATCACTTTTTAAAACTAAAAAGTGATAAGCTATACTTTGTTCAGCATACCCAATAAACATACAATTAGAAGTTTTAAAATCAATTTTTCTCTTTTCCAATAAAACTTTTACAAGACACCCCCACACTTTCAAATATTTTAAATTTGGGGTAAACCCTTTTCATAACTCATAAGGTGTTTTTTTGTTTTCTTATGAGGTATCTTATTTTGTAAAAACATGTAGACAAAATAGCTTCACCCCATAAGTTATCAGGCACAGAAGAACTCACAAGCAAAGCATTCATCATTTCTTTTAATGTTCTATTTTTTCTTTCTGCAATATTATTAGACTCGAGAGAATAAGGAGGTGTTATTCATGTATAAGGAGGTGTTATTCACCACAGATAAAACAGTCTCCTTTTTTCTTGAAAGAGGAGTTAGAAGCATTAGGTTTGTAATCAGATTTCCTATTTTTTTTGTCTTTAATTTTAGGGCCATACCTCTTGTTGTGAGGCTTTGTCTCCGCCAGGTTGGCTTTAGATGTCATCTCTCTAGTTCAAGCTACACATACTGCCTTGCGGTTGGTGTCTTCAATGATGATATGAGTGATTGAGTTAGTCAATGACAACGATTTTTGTTTGTGTTTTAGCTACTGTTTATAATCATTCCATGATTCTAGTAGCTTCTCAATTAAGATCCCAGCAACAAACTCATCTAGAAGGTTGATGTTTTCAGCATGAAGCTCCTCCAGCAGCTTATGATATTCATTGATTTGCTCCTTCACATCCTTGTTCTAGATCATCTCCCATTTGTAATAGTTTCCCACAACGAACTTTTGTTTTCCAGCATCCTTAACAGTGTACTTTGTCACCAAGGACTCCTATATCTTATAAGCTTCCTTGTAGACACAGTAGACATTAAACAAATCATTAGATAAAGTGCTAATGATGGTATATTGGCATACCTTGTTTGCATGAGTCTATGCAACTCTCTAGGCTTCATCAATATCAGTAGGAGGCTCAGATTAAGCAAGAGTAGCAGCCACACCATTCATGTCAAGAATAGTAAAGACTCGTTCCTGCCAGTGTTTGAAGTTCCTACTGCCAAAGACTTCTATCTTTGATATGTTTGGGAATGGCCTCAGCAGGGGGATGACAACAGCAATAGGGTCATATTGATCTCCAGCTGAACTACTGAGTACACCTTCGGGGATGACATTCTCAGCACTATTAGTCGCCATTCGGTTTGATTAGTTCTTAAGATTGTTAGAGGTACCGGCGGTATAGACGTGAATGACGAGCTGCTTGAGTAGTGCCAGAAAGAACACTATCTTTAAGAACTATTTCAGCATACTAGGACAACAGACTGACAGTTCTCCAGGATTAAACAAGCATTTCCTGCAGGAGCAAGGAACCAAAACAACAGAAACTAAAAATGAAGTCAGATGAACAACACAGGAGAAGCTAGAGGGAGGAGAGAATTGCCCCGAAAAATCAAGAAGCTGGTGAGTTGTTCTATCTGTACCCATGGCTATATATAGCCTGAAGATGGAGACATGAACGTTAGCTCAAAATTACCAGATTAAATACCTGTTTGGAAATGTTGGGGGGTTATGCAAACGTAAAACACATTCAAGCTCTTGTTTGAAAACATTGGGAAGACAAATATGTTTACAAAATTAATCTAGTTAATGGTAAAAAAATATTCATGGTTTGATTTCAAACTCCAAATGATCAAAAATTGAGATTTTCTGGTAAGCAAAGATAATTATTTATTTATTTTGTAAAATTAATCCAATAAAAGGAATCCATTGCCTCTTGAACTCGCACATAGGGGGCAAATTGGCTAATTTCAACTGCGTTTGCCCTGAGTTGGCCTATTTCATGCGCACGAGCTCACTTCTCCTCTAAGTCCATTTTACTAGCCCACTTCATTCCTTAGTATTTATATACTAGGAGACTCCTTCATTTAGTCAAAGTGAGACTTTTGACATACACACTACACAAATTACATTCAGATAATCAATTTTAAAAATTCAAAATTTTAATATTAAATTAGTCAATTTGATACGTTCTTACTCCTTTCTCTAGAACTCCAAGACAATTTTAAATCAACCTTCAAATAAATTAGTTAATCACACTTAAAATTATACATTCTTTTTATGTTTTGTATAATTTATTTACATGTTTTTTCCCTAAACATTTTTTTATATTTATCTTTATTTAATAGGTTATTTTAAATAAAAAAATTTATTAATTACATTTCTAATTGAGGATATTTCTGAAAAACCTTATTAACTATGCATTAAAAAAATCTAAAATGTCTTATATATTTCTTAACATAATATTTGAAAAATAATACTAAATGAAAGGAGTATCTTAACTAAAAAAGAGTTGCTTTATATTATTTTCAGTCTCAATTTGGGATGGCTCTTCCGAAGATATTTTTTGCATTCACATGGGTTTAAATAGGGTTTAAGTTAAAAAAAATTCATTTCCAAAAAAAATTATTGACGTAATCATCTCTCTTTAAATCTATGAAATAGTTAAAAATGACTTATAATAGAGTATTTATACAGATGAAAATCCTTTTTTTTATCCAAAAAATGAATCAAAATCCTAAACTTATGCTTCAAATAAATCATGTTCTAGAACATCCATTATACTTTCATTAACCTTAATAACCAAATTCAATGCCCAAAAATTCAAATTTCCAACCCCATAAGATAACCTAAGTGAAAAGCTTCTCAAAACCGAAAGGAAAACTATATAGAATATGAGAGAAATGGGCTAGGAACTTACCTTAATGGTATCCAAGCTCTAAACCCTTATGAAGCCCCAAGAAATCATGCCTAGCAGAGCAAAATCACCCCACCATTTTCTCCCACTCCTCTCACGCATTCTAATCTAATTTTTGGAACAGGAACTTTTATTTACATTTTCAATTGCAGCCGATTGTGGCTAGTATAGTTGAAGCTACTTAGACTAGTCCACCCTCTCTATTTAAGACCGTGGACGATTGTGCCATGTACTAGGTTCAACTATGGATGATTGTAATCAGAATTACCACATACTTTCTAATTCATCACCAAACCTCAACTTAACCACTCTAAGCCCCAAACAACTAACACATTTAGGTTCGCAATTACGTTATTTATTAATTTCAATAACATAATCCCAAAAACAAATAATCAATCACTCATTTTTTTTGATTAATTCATAATTTAAAAATTAAGATGTTACACTATGATATGCATAAAATATAATTAATTAATTAAAAATATTAGAATTGGAATTCATATATTAAAATTTGAGTTATTATAATTATAATATTATAAAAATATTATAACAAATATACATACATACATATTTTAGGGCCTTAAAATTAATATACTAGCATAAAAATACATGAATTATATAAAATTATAAATTAATATAGTAGATATCTATCATATTTTTACCTAACATTATATACATAACTGGCAAAAAAAACTATATTTAAAATCATTGTCACAAATTATAAGATTGTCACAAATTATAAGATTTAATCATCCCCACAAGGCGGCATTAACCTCAGTTATTACATGTAATCTTTTTTCTGAAAATTCTTCAATGAAGAAATTAACAAAATATATTGCCAAGTGTTAATACCAGTTTGACTTCCTTGCACGTTCTTCGGTCTTCGTTTCTTGTAAGTATATATGAATAGACAAGTGAAGTCGAGTCTTGAAAGTTGGAACCACTGCACAAGTTGGCATTGACACAGTCTTCTTATATTGCGCTAATATCAATATGCGGCTAAAGTTGAGTCTTTGCACCACCATGCAAGTTAGAGGGACCATTTGTTTTACTTAAAAAGATAAGTGATTCTTAGATGTTTTAGAAATTTTATAAAAATAGATTTATTATTTATTAATTTTTAAAATTTTATGATATTTTTGTGAATCTTTATTTAAAAATATTTATTTTTTACTCATTTTTAAATTTTATGATTTCTGTATATATATTAGTATTTTGATAACATTTTTCTCATATATTATATTTGATTATTTTCATAAGCTTTTTTGTTGTTGAGATTATTTTCATAAGCTATTTAAAATAATTTCTCAAAGTATATAAAAAAAGTTGCTTTTTTTAAATTCTGGTTATTTTAAAAAATTTAAACAAATATAATAAAATTTTCTAAAAGTAATCTTTAAAAAAATATAAGTGATTTTTTAATTAAAAAATGATTAAACAAATGTGCCTTAAGGATGTGTTTGGTTAGAGGAGAGGGAGGGAAGGGAAAGGGAGGGGACATGATAATAATTAATTTACTATTATATCCTTATAAATTAGTTCAGTTTAGAAGTTGTTCTTCATATAAAGTAATTTTTCGACCTTAATTAAATTATGATTTTAAATGGTGCGTTATATTTTTCAAAAATTTATTATAATTTGTATATTAATTATTGTAATATATGGATATTCACTAAGAAAATAAAACAAAGCACAAGAAGATTTTTTTTATTTTGGACCGAAGATATATATAAATTATAATTTCTTCAAATGGGTCTGTGTGGACGATATTGATATTGGAAAATTAGATCCTTGCATCTTGGACGACGACTCTCGGGTCTCTGTGGACCCGAGATATGGAAATGGGTGATTTCTGGAAAATTTGATCACACTTCGTCAACCTAGTCGCACTCACTCCATCTGGAATCTATATCTTCAGAATCGAATTGTGCAACGGATTCAAACCTAATCACAGCCACGCCACAACGATTATTTTTCTGATCAAGACAGGAAAGTGAGTTTGCGAGCAATGGTTGTCATGGTGGAGGAGTGTCAAAATGATGAGAGAATTAGTCAGAAATTAAGGGCAAAATTGTCAGAAACTCTACTTCCCTTCCAAATTGAAGGAGAGCAATACGAGGAAAGGGGATGAGAGATTTTAGCTCCTTTCCCCTCAAAGTATATAGGAAATTGTAAAAATTTTCTAAAAGTAATATTTCTTAAAAGATAAGTGATTTTCAAGAAAAAAGGATTAAGCAAACGTGGCTTAAGTCTCAATGCTCGTTTAGACTGTTGGTAAGTTAAAAAAATAATAATAATAAATCACTCAGACTGCTCCCTCTGTCTCTTTAGCGTGTGAACTTTTTTGGATAAATAAAAGGTGCTGCAACGAAGGAAAAATCTAGGACAGACGCGGAATTAATATTATATGGTTTTATTGTCCAAAGAGAAATGAAGAATAATCTTAGCGTATTATGTCATGTGTATTCAAGAACTCCTATATACAAATTCTGTCATGCTAGTTCTAATCGCTGTACGATAGGAGTTTGGACTTTTTTCTAGTGAAAGTTAACTGCTATAATAATTTATAATAATTTAAAAATAAACAAGTAAATTACTTTCTAACTTTAAATGCAGCAATATCATAGATTTTAAATTTGTCTATTATGCAAATTATTTCCTTAAATTAGAGGTTGAAATAAACTAGACCACTATCAAAGGTAGTGGCAGAGCCACATATACTTGAGGAGGGGGGCATATGCACGCTCTCAATTAAGAAGGTATTACAAATAAGTTGTATGGAGTTTGCTATTTTATCCTCTCTAGTCTCAAAATTTACACCCCTTAAAATTTAAATTTTTTTTTGTGAATATTTTAACTTAAGCCCAATATTGAATCCATTAAATTCAAAATTCTAATATGATTTAAAAAAATGTACTTATTTATTTCATTCTTTTCAATTTCTGCTTCATGATTATATACTTATAAATTTTTTATGTATAAATAATATTATTTTTAATAGTATTTGACAATAAGTAGGGGACAATTATAAAATATATGATTATTTTTAAAAAATACTAAATATTTATTTTTCAATTATTATTTTTAAAAGTAATCTGCACCCCCTAACACAAAGTCCTAGCTTCGCCACTAATCAAGGGCCTATAGCATGGTCTACTTTAGGACTAAGCCAAATTTAAGCCTTTAATTAGACCTATTTAATTGAATAAGCCAAGTATATTTTTCCAATGTTTAAGCTCCAAGTCTAACATATCAACCTATTTACATATATATATTATGTAATATATTACATACATATTAGTTTCACCAATTTGATTTTTAATTAATCTATCCTTTTTCATTTTAAGTTATATTTTCAATCAGATTGGGCTTATATATTTGTTTTAATGTTACTATTGCATTATAATTGATAAGTCATCTCAATTACTATATACTGAAATTGATCAATCATGTTATATAAATATAGACATTAATAATTCTAAAATATATTTGAGATATTTAAAACTAACATGCAAGGCTATTTAAAAAACTTACTTTTAAGTGGGCTTTTAAATAAGCTTTTAAGCTAGGTCAAACTTTAGGTAAGTTTAGGCTTGAGAACCTTATACAGGCTTTAAACTAGACTCAAGCTCTTGACCTTCCACATAAACTCAAGCCTATTTGATCAAAACCTAGCTCATCTAACCTATTTTCATCCCTATCCTCAACTTAAATTTGAAAACAGTGCAATTTAGCTTCTATCGTTAATAAAAGTTAACTTTAATAATTGGTTGATAAGAAAATGACAGAAAAGGATATCAAAAATTATAGAAGAAGACCAAGAATTTTTGGTCATTTTTTGTAATTTTTGAATCCTTGTCTATAATTTGTAAACTTTTTATTGTAATTTTTTGGTCCTTTTATAAAATTTTTGAGGTCATTTTTTGGCCCAATCAAGAATAGCTTTCATAAAAATATTTTCTGCATTCACATGGGTTTAAAAAGAGATAAAGTTGGAAAAATAATCATCTCTCCTTAAATCTATGGAACAATTAAAAATGACTTATAATAAAGTATTTATACAAATGAAAATCCTTTTTTAATCGAAAAGGTGAATCAAAATCCTAAACTTATGCTTCAAATAAATATTGATAAACGAAATAAGTGATATTGGAGATGAACCGAAGGGAGCTTAATGAGGGTCATTTTATTCTACGAAATCAATGGTTTTTTTTTTTAGGATCCAATTAAATTATAAGTCTAGAAGCATCTGGAACCTTATACTTATTTTTCATGCAGTGTGTCTCTTCAACTTTTAAAAATGGTACCTACCATTAATAGAAGTTAACTTTGACCATTATTTGATTAGAAAATGATCTCAAAAATTAAAAAGAAATTACCAATAAAATATTCCTGGTCCTTTTATGTAATTTTTTGGATCATTATTTGTAAATTTTTCAAAGATTTTAGGTCTTTTTTTTTTGTTTTTCTTTTGATCAACTAATGGTCAAAGTTAATTTTTATTAATGGTAAGAGTTAGACTATATCATTTTCAAATGTTAAAGAAAAATATTGCATGAAAAATGAATTTAGAGTCCGACACATTCTTAGGCTTGCTGATAAAAAAATACATATTAAATATATAAGCCCAAAAATACATGAGTTGCATGAAATTAAAAAATTATAAATTATAATATATTAAATATATATTCTTTTTTTACTTAACATTATATATATATATATATATATATATAATTATTGTCGCGAATTACAAGATTTGATCATCATCACAAGGCAGTATGGACCTTGGTTACAAGTAACCTTTTTTCTGGAAATTCTTCAATGTAGAAATTAACAAAATATATTCCCAAGTATTAATAACTGTGTGATCCTTCCTCGCGGATTCCTCAGTCTTATTTTTTGTGAGCATACATCAATAGATAGATGAAGTTGAATCTTGAAACCATTACCCAAGTTGGCATTGACTCAATCTTCTTATATATAGATAATACGAATATGTGGTTGAAGTTGAGTCTTTGCCCCACCGTGCGCACTGGTTAGCGGGCAAGTTCGTTTTACTTAAAAAATTGATTTTAAAATTTTTTTAGAGATTTTATAAAAATATATTTATTGTTTAATAATTTTAAAATTTTATGATATTTTTGTGAATCTTTATTTTATAAGAAAAATTTATTATTTACTTATTTTTAAATTTTACAATATCTCTGTGCATATATGTCTTTTGATAACATTAATCTTTCTCTTATATTGCATTTGATTAAAATAATCTATTTAAAGTAATTTCTTAAAACATATCCGAAATTTTCTTTTTCTTTCATATTCTGGTTATTTTTAGCAGTTTAAACAAATACAGTAAAGTCTTCAAAAAAAAATATTTTTTTTGAAAAACTGATTTTTCAATTGAAAAAAAGATTAAACAAACTTATCTTTAGAATCTTTAAACCATTAGACAAGTTACCATTAATTGACTCAACACTCACTAGGCTATTCCCTATCTCTCTTTCTCTCAATCTAGCATGTGAACGTTCTAGATAAATAAAAGGTGAAGAAATGAAGGAAAAATCTAGAGAGAGAGAGAGAGAGAGAGAGAGGCGTTGATAATTAACAGGAATTAATATTATATGGTTTTTATCGTCCAAGAAAAAATGACGAATAATCTTAACACATTATGTGTATTCAAGATTTCCTATACAAGAGTTTGGACTTATTTATAATGAAAGTTAATTGCTACTATATAATAATTTAATTTGACCATTTGGATCAGGAATTTGGATTTAATTGGTAAGTGGTTCTATACACTACTTTCTGTAATCTTAAATGTAGAAATTGGAGGAGTTTGTCGTAATCATATAAATATAAGATTCTCAATCTTAATTTGTCTCTAAATTTATTATACTTTCCCAAACTATCATATTGATTCAATCTATAGGAACAATTTCCAATGTAAATGATTCAAAGGATGGGTAGTTTAGGAAAATTGGTAGATACTCCCTCCCTTCTATCCAAATTGTAAGACATTTTTCTAATTAACTTATTAGTTCAAAATATAAGATACTTTTTAAAAATTATTTTGTCATTTTACCAATGTATTTATTAACCTAGTTTCTTGTGTAGCATGCACGGGAATTTATCACCTCTTGTTCACTCTATTAGTTAGTTTTATTGGTGAGCTTTGTATCATTTTGGCTTTTCTCTGTGACATCTCTCATTAAAAATTATTTACATAAATACTTTTTCTAATTTTTTTCATCGCGAGTAGTTGGTGTTAAGGGGGGAAAAAACTATGATATATATATATATATATATACAAGCAGGTTTAATTTGCAGATTCTACTAATCATGTGGTTTAGTATGAGATATGGTGGATTATGCTCAGATATCTTATAAGAGAATTTTCAATAATGAGATATAGCAATCCTAATTTGATGTTGGTTATTATTGTTGTTGTTGTTGTTGTTAGGTGATTGTTTCCGAACGATCAAGTAGAGCTAAACCGTTGGAAATACTAATACATGTAATAATCTTTTTTTAGGATAATTCTTCAATGTGGAAATTAACAAAATGTATCGCCAAGTGTTAATATCGTGTGACTTCATTCTTTATTTTTGTAAATATATATGGATAAGCAGGTGAAGTTGAGTCTTGGAACCATTATAGAAGTTAGCATTGACTCAGTCATCTTACATAGCAAATATGAATACGTGGCTAAAGTTGAGTCTTCTCGCCATTACAGAGGTTAGAGGGCAAGTTTGTTTTACTTCTAAAAAAACAAAGTTATCAATCACTCTCATTTTCTAGTCTCTTATATATAAACGCCAACCCCCTTATGTTCTAATCCATCCATAACTTCTATTGCTAGAGCATTAAATCCCTTTAGCAAGCATGAGAAGATCCATAAGCGATGGCATTGAGATGATTTTAATTTTTTTCTACTTTCTTGTGCAGCTTCACAACTCTATTTGTGCGGGAATCTCGCTGATGATGGCTGCATTGAAGAAGAGAGGCATGCTCTTTTAAAGTTCAGAGACAGCTTTGACAATTACTCAAGGGATGTTCTTGCATGGGAAGGCAAAGAATGCTGCAAATGGAAAGGAGTCAAATGTGATGGCATCATTGGGCATGTGGTCAAGATTGATCTCAGCCCAATAACAAATCCCATGGTAGAAAAGTTAAAAAAAAATGGCCACGGTCCATGTTTTGTTAACTGCACATTGACAAGTAAAGCAATGAGCCCTTCCTTACTGGAGTTGAAACATTTGAGCTACTTGGATTTAAGCTTTGTTGATTTTCAACAAAGTCATATCCCACCGTTCCTTGGGTCCATGGAACAACTAAGGTATCTTAATCTTTCCCACTGTTCCTTTTGGGGGTGTGTGCCACAACATCTGGGAAACCTTACTAACTTGTAAATTCTTGATCTCAATGGAGTTTACGTGCATGGCTTATGGGTTTAGAGAGATCAATTTTTATACATGGATGACTTCACTTGGGTCTCTCAACTTTCTTCTTCGCGATATATTAACATGGGGGGAGTTCTCATTGAGAATGATATGAATATCATAATGCAAGTAATCTATAATCTCCCATTCTTGTTACAAGCAAACTTTATGCGTTGTCAGTTTTTCTCCTATAGCAATTCTTATGGGTTTGTGAACTCCTCCACAATTCCTTTCAAGGTTCAAGTCTTGAATCTTAGGGCAAATAGTCTTGATGCCATACCCAAAGCTTTGCAAAACATGACATCCCTTAGATCCATTGACCTTTCGCACAATATTATTGACTTTGTTCCATTATGGTTTGGAAAGTTCAAGTTTCTAGCTCATTTAAATCTATCAAGGAATAGCATTTCAGGTTTATTCCCCACTGCTATTCAAAACCTGTCAACCCTTACATCCCTTGACATTTCTGACAACAATCTTGACTCAGTTCCATTATGGCTAGGAGAGTTCACATTTCTAGCCCATTTGAATCTAGCAAGGCATAAACTCCTAGGTTTGTTCCCTACTGCTATTTAGAACATTACTTCCCTTAGATTTCTTGATCTTTCCAGCAATAATCTGACTTCTACAATTCCATTATGCTCTATCAAGAGAATTCAACATGTCAATCTTGCCAAAAATAAATTCTCTATTCTCCAAAGTTCTTGTCCTCGGAATTCCAACATCAATTGCAATCTAAAATCATTTGACTTGTTTCCAGACAATAAATTTCAAGGAGAAAAATTTGGAACCCTAAAAAATATATCAGTTTACATGAGCGGTCATTTAAAAGCACTAGATTTGAGTCACAATGAGTTGAAAGATCTTACAGAAAGCTTTGGCCAACTTAAGAATTTAGCGAAGTTGAATTTGGCTTCAAATTTGTTATATGGCCCCATCCCATTATTCTTTAGAAATTTGACCAAATTGAAAGAGCTAATTCTTAAAGATAATCACTTCAATGGAACAATTCCAGTATTCTTGGGGAGTTTGTTTTCATTAAGGGTGTTAGATCTTGCCAGCAATCACCTAAAAGTCACATCCCAGATAGTCATGGAAAGCTTCTAAACTTGAAAATTTAGATCTTTCAACTAACTCCTTTGAAGGTGCTCTTGGGGAAATTATCCTTGGTAATCTATCTAATCTCCAAGAATTAAGGGTAGGGGTGAACAAGTTATCTATAAAGCTTGCATCCAATTGGTTGCCTCCTTTTCAATTGATAGATCTTAATTTGTCATCTTGCAAAGTTGACACACCATTTCCTCAATGGCTTCAAAGCCAAAAGAGGTTAGTTGTGTTAGACTTATCATACACTGGTCTTTGGGGTACCCTCCCAACGTGGTTTCAACAAGAGGATCTCAATGTACTAGATCTCTCCAACAAGATTAGTAGACAACTCCCAAGAAATCTCCATGACATAATGCCAAATTTGATTAGTTTGTTCCTTCGTAATAACATTTTGAATGGTTATATTCCTAAATCATTGTGTAAATTACAATGTCTTGAAGACTTAGATCTCTTAAAAAATAAATTATCTAGTGAGATTCCTAACTGTATTGGTGAAACTCGTTACATTAGATTGATAGATCTATCATCTAATGAGTTTTCAGGCAACATTCCTAAAATATTTTGTAATGATTTTCATCATTCCCCCTTTTTAGAATCTTTGAACCTGAGCAACAATGGTTTGCTTGGAGAGCTTCCATCAACCTTGTCATCTTGGCACTTGTTGGAGATTTTGGATCTTGGCAATAATCAACTACATGGCAATATACCTTCAACTTTTTGGGAAGGTACTACTAGGCTGAAAATTCCTTTTTGCATTGGGAATCTTAAGGGAATGATGATAAATAAAGCATCAAATAAAGGATCCAAGGTAGATGAAGCTTTTGAACCTATAGTTGCTCCTACATCCCCACCTGCACCACCAGCAACTCCACCTTTTGATCAATGGGAAAGAGAAGATGTCAAGCAATTCATGAAAGGAAGAGAACTTAACTTCACAAAAAATCTCAAGTTTGTAATTAATATGGACTTGTCAAACAACAATCTAGTTGGCTTTATACCAGAAGTTCTAACTTCTCTCACTGGATTAGACAGCTTGAATTTATCACACAACTCTTTATCAGGAGAAATCCCAAGCAAAATAGGGAAAATGAAGTTTCTAGAATCCCTAGACCTCTCATGGAACCAACTTGAAGGCCCACTTTCAAGTAGCATGTCTTCTTTGACATCATTGAGCCACTTGAATTTGTCATACAACAACTTTTTAGGGCCAATTCCAAAGGGAAACCAATTCTTCACTCTTGAGGATTCATCCATTTATATTGGAAATCAATATCTCTGTGGAGAACTTGTGCTGAAAAAATGCAACCGTGATGACAATAATGAAGCTCCAACTTATGAAGGCAAAGACGATGACAACAAAAAAGAAAAGATCATGTTTTACTTTGTTGTTGCCCTTGGTTTCATGACAGGATTCTGGGGAGCAATTGGAGTCCTAGTGTTCAACAAGAGTTTAAGGTATATTTGCTTTAGATATGTGGAGAAAATAGCTGATGAAATATATGTAGCAGTAGCAATAAGAGTTGCAAGGATCAAGAGAATATGGTAGAAATCTTGATGAGATTTTGAGTTTGCTAGTGATGTAGCAGAAGGTTTGCTATCCACCCAAGAGGTTTTAGTGAATCCCATAATCTTGGTTGCATAATAAAGATGATCAACTATGACAACCCAAACGCTTGGGAATTGTGATTGGAGGTGGCGAAGTCTTGCTTCTCAGATCCTTCTCATAGCTTGGCATTTGAAGCTGAGTTTTCTTGTTCTGTTTTTTGTTCTCTTGTTTTTGTTCAATTTCTAGTGTTATGTTTTTCTTGTCTTGCTCTTCTTTTCAGACTTTTCGGTCCCTGTTTGTAGTCTCTTTGTTTTCACTGCTTTAATGAAATTCGAGTATTATTCAGGCTAAAGAAAAAATGAATTGTAGTAATTGTATAGATTTTCTTTTAAAAAAAAACTAGTAGATTTATACGTGGATAAAAATTTAAATTTAATTTAATTAATCTTTTATTACAACTAAACGAACACATTTTAAAAATATATATTGTGTATAAAAGAAAAATAATAGGGCTTTGACTACATGCTAGCCGGGGGGGGGGGGGGAACCGGTTGCTAATGAAATGGACAATGTATAATGGTTATAAGGGTTAAACCTTATTTGAATCTTTCTACCAAAAAAACCATTATTTGAGTGCTTTTTTAAGAGGGAATACAATGCTTAAGAATGTGGTTCTTAGTGAATTTGAACATTTTAAATTTAAATAATTATAATTCATTCTATTAAGATCAACGACTATGATTTCAGGTGTAAATTCAATTTTTTATCTTCTTAAATTTCGGATTAAGAATAAAATGACAAAACAGATTTTATAATTATAAAACTACCTCTACCCCTAAATGTTTTAAATACATTACATTATGCAATATTTATCATGTATTTTATTCTTGTAGTGCCAAAATCTGCTTGTTCTTTTCATTATCTTAACATTTATTATCTAATTTTAGTCAATATTCAAACTCGTAAATATTGATCCTTTATAAAATAGGATAAAAATTTTAAATTTTTTAATCATCATTAGAGAATTAAAAAAGAATTACATATGTTGGGTCAATGATTTATAATTGGCTAAATAAGGTAATATAAATATATTAAAAACGTTTGAATAAAATTTATATAATGTGGTAATGTTATTTTTTCAAAAAAGACGTGTTTATTAATTTGTGAATGCATGATGCGAAAGATATAACAATAAGAATTCATCCACACGCATTTCTATCTAAATTACTCATAATGAACCAAAAATGGGATTCTCCTTAGCAAGAATAATGATAGAGATAAATGAAACGGGTTTAAATTTTTTGAAATTCAAATCTGTAATTACTCATAAATTAACTTCTTTATATACATGCTCATAGATAACCTCTTAATCCTTTATGAAATCAAAGTATTTATAATATCTTGCACATTGTTAAAAGTCGGGTGGTTGATTAATATCATGGGTGTTCATGATTTTGAGGATAAAGAGCTTTTTAATACTTACTATCTCGTGCTTTAGTCCACATGCACACATATAAATATTGATCCTTTATAAAAATATGAAAATAAGGTAACAATATTTTTAAAGCGATGTTAAGAAATTAAAAAAAAAGAATTGCATATATAAATTGGATAATTAAATTAATAATTGGCTAAATGATTTATTTAGGGTTATATATACATTAATTGGCTAAATGAATTATTTAGGGTTATATATACATGGCAAACTAGAATACCAACGTCTCAAGGGTGAAGTCACAGTCCGTGCAGTATGTATGGGCCTTAAAGTATAAAGTGCGTTTATAATTATTTATTAAAAATTAAAAATTTAATTAATATCCACTAATTACAATCCAGTGGAGTAGTTGAGTCTTTAAACCAGTGCACAAGGCAGAGTTGACTATGATTACAAGTAGTGATCTTTTTTCTCGGAAATTCATTGTTAACTTCTTGCAGGTTCTCAGTGAATTTAGAGAAAATTTCCTTTTGAAATTGATACTTTTGAAGGATTGCAACAAATTAAACTAGGAACATATATTTGGCTTATATAAAGTTTATGAAAAATATACTCGCAAGTCCTTACAGTTTCATTTGATTTTAAATTAGATCTTTACAATTTATTTTATTTTAATCAAGCTCTCATAGTTTTATCTATTATATATATTGACCCCTGGAGGTTAAAATTAATGATGAATTATTAAATTTTACAAAACAAAAATATTCTTGGAGTTTGCAGAAAATTTAATTTAATACTTTAAGACAAAATTGAAAAAAAAAAATTGATTTAATCCACTGTTCATATTTTTATTATAACTTTTATGAAAATTCTACATGTATAAATAATATTTAGAAGACAAACTAATTATATGAATTTTGAATTATAAAAATTATGTAATTAATTCTAAAGTCATATAATCATTTAATAAAAATATAAAAAATTTAATTAATTTTTTTAAAGGAAAAATGTAAGGATTTTAATTTTTAGGGATTAAAAAATTTAATTGATTAAACTATAAGGCTCAATTAAAACCAAATAAATTGCCAACAACATGTTAAAAGATTCAGTACTGATGATTTGAAAATCAAGTAGGAAGTGAATCAATTCTTTCAGGAATCGAATACTTATGCGCGCTTCTGATGCTTTCTGCTTTTAGATTTCCTCAACCAAATAGTCCAACCCTGATGCACAATTTCTAAATTCTGATGGTCCTAAAGCAGAAGAGAGTTAGACAGGATTTGTTCATGGAAAGAGTAGGGGTGTTTATGGGACGGGACGAGACCGGGATACTCCTGTCCCGTATCTCGTCCCAGAAAAAAGATCGGGACTGAATTTTGGTCCCGTGTCCCGTCCCGTCTCAAAAATCGTCCCGTCCCGTCCCGTTAAGAGCAGGGACGGGACCGGGACAAGATCGGGACGTCCTGCTGTCCCAATAAATGGAATAATATCAAAAAAAAAATTTAGATAATAACGTTCATTAAAATTTTAAATCATATAATTTATTAAGTTTAAAATCAAAACAACACAAGTATATAAATAACGATAATTTAAAATTAATTATTGAATTATATTAATCACAACTACACATTATAATAATAAATATAAATGATCTTTATGCTATAAGATTAGTAACAACAGGCAAGTCAAATATAACATCAAATCATTGTTCTTCTACTTTAGTGAAGATATACTAAGCTAATTAACTCTTCTAAAAATAAGCAAAAAATACGTTGTAAATAAAATTTATTAAATAAATAGATATAAAAATAAATTATATTAATATAATTAGTATATTATAAAGAAAGATATCGTCATGTTTACTCCATGCCATTAAAATTATCAATATAAAAAAGTTTAGTTTTAAATAAGAATTGCAAGTATTAAAATTATAATTGATATAATTAATATAAGTATAAATTATATTAATATAATTAATATATTTAAAATAAAAAATAATATACATAATATTCGGGACGGGGCGAAACGTCCCGATAGTAATCCCGTGTCCCATCCCATCCCGAACCCCTTTCCTGTCCCATCCCGTAAAGTCCCGTCCCAATTACTTTTGGGCCGGGACAAGACCCGTCCCGATATGATCGGGACGATACCGGACCAATCGGGACGGGTCCAGACTGAACACTCCTAAGAAAGAGAGTATTCATTTTTAAAAAAAAAAATGCGAGCCACGATTGTCCATTATTATGTGCCTGGTCTTTATTAATTAAAAAAAAGCTTTTTTTATCATGTTTAATATATTTACTATCAAAAGTTTTAACATTTATTATCTTATTTTTTTAAACCCATATAGGCGTTTGATTTAGCAGAAGGATTTAACATTTATATGCTCAGATTTCTTGGAGATTTTTCTTTATAACAAAACCTTATAGACATTCGATTTAGCAGAAGGATTTAGCCCCCTCACAATGTCATAAATTAAAGTTCGAACTCATCTAAAAAAGTACTCACATATTTAGTATCTGACTGTAATTTAAATATGATTGTCTTCAATAAAAAATACATCTTAGCAATCAAAACCTCATGCTTTGCTTGCACGGCGATGTTCCAAAATATCATCCCACTTAGCCAATATAAAGCTAATGCAAAGCTACACGTTTTAAGACATAATTAGTTTTGAATATTCTAAAGCAAGGTATGTCCACAAGAATAATCAAATAAAACTAAACCAATACTATATTATTACTTGAACCCGGCAAAAGTGTGTAAAATATTTTGGTTCGATTTTACAATATTTGTTAAAGCTAATACTTTTTTTTTTAATCGAGAGTATATTCGGCCAATAATAAAAAATTTATTACACTTAGAACTAGAATTCATAATTCAAATTGTTATCAAATTATAAATTTTATGCTATTATAATTATAATATTATAACAAATATACATATATCGATGCATGTCTTAGGGCCAAAAAATTGAAAAAAAAATTAATATATAAGCGCAAAAATACATGAATCGTATTCAATTATTAATATTGATTATAATAAACATTATATATATATATATATATATATATATAATCATTGTCAGAGGGCAGCATTGACATTCGTTACATGTAATCTTTAATTTTTATGGGAAATTCTTCAACATGGAAATTGACAAATTAAAATATATTTGTCAAGTTCTTCAGTCTTCCCTTTTTGTATGTATATATGAATGGATGGGTGAGGTTGAGTCTTAGAACCTCTGCACAAGTTAACATTGACTCAGTCTTCTTACATAGCTTATACGAATGTGTGGCTGAGATTGAGTCTTAGCCCCCATTGCACAGGTTACAGGTCAAGTTTGTTTTACTTAAAAAAAAGTAATTTTTAAATATTTAGAAATTTTATAAAATATATATTTATTATTTAATAATTTTAAAATTTTATGATATTTTTGTGAATCTTTATTTAAAAATATTTATTATTTACTGATTTTTAAATTTTATGATTTCAAAAGTTAAAAGAACAATTTGCACAATAAACAAGTTCAAAATTTATGATACTACTTGACTTAATTAAATTT